TGGTCAAGAGGAATCCGCCGTCGTCTTTTGGTGGAATCGACCTTCGAATCTCTTCACCCAATACTTTCACTCGAAATGGAAGTAAGCTCAACAATCAAGAAAGATGGCCATATAAGCTCCTACTTACTTCTTATACCTCACTTTGCGATCTTAATGAGGCATTCCATGATTTGATCGGCTGCTTTCTGCTTGCCCTACGTACATGTAAACGGATCAAAGTGATGCAGGAAGGGGAGCGGATGTGGTCATAACTTTAGTCTATGCAAATAAACTAACGTATAGTCCTGTAATCTTGGGTCTTGTCAGAGCTTCGTGGATGAGTGTTCGTGTGTGTATGCAACAACCACGAGTTGGTTGGCAATCAAGTCTTATATTACTCAGGGGCTCTTCCAGTATCATTTCCTTCTCCCTTTCTTTCTCTCTAATTATATTTAACAACAAGAGATAGTTCTTACTTATTCGGGGCATAATTTGTTTCGTTAATTTTAATCGACTCCCTGATCTTTCTCTTGGCTGTAAAGTCCTTATATCTGGCAAAACGTTGGGATTTAGACCACTCTATCTGGTGTCCTGTAGTGACCATATATCCAGCCACCTCCGATGTCTGAATCCATAAACCTTTGCAGGCTGTTCTTTGTTCTGATATCCTCTTATGTATGGGTCGACAAGTCTCCCCCACATCAGCACAAAACCTTATAACAACCTGATCTGCCGAGTTTTTTGGGTGATTGTTCGTGAATAATGGTTTCTCACTTTGCCGATGCCCATCACATGACGGAAGAAGGGTCTGTATGGAGTCATCCGGTCGTAGGATGGTGAGCCGAGGGCTTCTTCGCATAATTCAACTGACAAAAGTCCAAGGCAACCCTCCTTCGGTATTCTGTGAGGCCGAGCTACGAATCCCTTCCACCCGCCTCAAAGAAAATGAAAAGTATGCAAGTTTCAATCTACTAAGGGACTCTTCGAAACCCAGCTTCTCTTCATATTCTCACTGATGTTTGCTACCTATGCTACTGACAACCTGTTGTATAAGTTGTCCTTATCTATCCCTCTCATCGTAGCTATTTTGGTGTTACATCCTTCTCACTCAATGATCTTTATAAACCAAGTGCTATTCTTTAAGGCATTTAATGACCCTAGATACTTCTATATCTCAGGCGATAAATTTTAGCCACATTTTTAGTTGCATTGCCAACATGGGCCCCAACCGCAGGAATTAGGTCTACTTATTTCTTGGAATTGAAGGTGAGGGTGATACTAACCACCGTGGAGTGAAGAGAAGGTGTGGAGTAAACCTTCCACTTGGAGTAATTCACTTCAACAAACCCGGGACGTGTGTGCCCAGCGGCGAAACTTTCGCCACTCTATTCCCTTCCACCTGCTGTACCTTTTTTGTTGAATACTTCCACGGTCATGGTTCCTCTTTCTAAGTAACCCAGTGACCTCTTATCCGACCACTTTGGCCTCATCGCAAGCCCCATCAGTGAGCCTCCCGGTAAACCCTTGCCCGATTATGTTCCCTTGCCCTTCAGATAATCGAAGCGCCGACCTCCGGCCCTCACGTCCTCCTGGCCGAGCAGTGCGGCGGATTCGGCATCGGCCTGGCTACTCGCGGCTTCGACGTCGACTTGGACGGCTCTCCAGAGCTTCTGGTCACCTCATGGCAACATCAGCCGTCTTTGCTGCTCTTCACGCAGGCGAGCCGGCTAGTTGCACATTGCCGTGTTAGCGTGCCACCCGTGGTCACCTCTCGAGACATCAAGGCTGGCGATAGAATACCGGTCAGTTTCCTCGCCTCTCTTTAATCATGCTTCAGGTTGCCTCTTTTGGTGGGTCATCTCTCACAGAATCAGAACGTACTCCTTCAAAAGTCTGATCATATAATTGGTAGATGACTTCTTTGATTTAGGTGCCACTAACTGTTCATCCACCACGACCTTCGGCTTCCATCGTTTGCGGCGCTTCGTTGACTTGGGAGCAATCCATGCTCTGCCGAAGTTTCTCAAATACTACTCAATATATGTGCCATTAGTGAGATTGCAGTATTAATGTGAGCACTTTATCGCCTTAGGTCGGTGTTTTGAGGACGGATGGTGGAGTCTATCCCACATTGATATGAGTAGGCCTCATGATACCACTGCATTCCATTTAGTCTTGAGAGATCAAAACCGTTGAGAGGCAACGCTAAGTAAAGTATGGGAGAAATTAAGTTGCATAGTGACGCCTATTCATATAATGAAGTGAAAAACTTGAATTTCAGTCCTAAAATCACCTTAAGCCCCTAGAGCGATTAACATTCTTATTCAAGCACTACTGTTAGTTTCGAAACATGCTCTTACTGGAAATGATGTTTTACAAGCCTTGGGTGCTACGTCACTTGCAGTTACTGGTCTGACTTCTCTAGGGTGAGGTCGAGATATCCACGAAGCAGTCTACATATCAGTCTAGCCATTCGACCAACATAATTAAAATTAATATAGGTAATGCGAATGTCTTTAAAAGCATTGCCATCCCTATTTACCTTTGGCTCTTTTTCAGGCGTTCATTTCCGGCACCTAATCTGTCACAAGCCCAGCACCTTAGACTCATTCGGCAACTTGATCGTGTTGACTGGAGGGAATTTAAAAGTCACCTCGTTATTCATCCTCTGTTAGCTATATCATTTGATACTGCCGCCATCACCTTAGGCCACTTACAGTTACTAGTTCTTTCGACCTTAGTGACATACGCTGAACATTTTCACATCAGAATCATAACTTTAGTGATGTATAACATTACTTGTTTTTAGACTATGCAGAATGCATGAACGAGTTACAAAAATTATCGAATTCTGCAGCTTATGCTGATGGCACACTGGAGGTCCAGTTACCGTTGTTAGTTTTTAAGCTATAACAGTCGCGGAGTGAGTCTATTTGAATAGGAACTCCATTAATCTCAGATCGCTTAGGCTGATATAAGGACGGCTAGTTTGATGTTTCCACAAGGAATTAAGTAGAAGACTTAAAGCTGTCACTGGATTTCGCACAATCTTTCCTTCGAAAAGACTTTCCTGTCCGGCCTGTACTCTGGGTTTGACCTCATCTGGCTCTCCTCAGCTCCCAATATGGCTTTCTAGGTGAGTCAATCCCCTTCTCAATTCACACTTTTATGATGGGACTCTTACTGTCAATCCAACTTTTATTTGCCATGCCAATCGACAGCATATTGGCCCAGCGAAACACTGGCACCCATCGCTGTGTGTAAGAGTGGCAACATGTTTCTGCTTGACTCTGCATGACCTGGGTTCACGCATTTGTTTGGCGTTTCGATGGGGCCAAGGTGGCGGCGAAAGTGCACTCAATCCCATATGAGAAGTATCTTGAGGCATCATTAGGCATTATGAGGCCCATCTGCTCCATCATGGGCATCTAGACCATCATTCCTTAAGCGAGATGCTATGATTTGAGTTTTTAGTAAATCTCTCTTGGTTGCTTCGGAACCTACTCAATCGCGCCATAGTCTTCGCACCATTTTGTCAGCCTCTCTCCGGTCAAAAACCTATAATTGTTTTTCGTTAGCTCGAATATGCTTGTAGAGATGATACCCTTACGACGGACGAAAGCGTAGCATGTTTTCACCGGAATCGAAGGAGATTGCATAGGAAGCAGCGTCAATAAGAATTTTTCAATAAAGCCAATCGACACTTGGTCAAGAGAAATCCGACTTCATTTTTGGTATGATCGACTCGAATCTCTTCACCAAACACTTTCACTCGAGCTTAAAGCAATATATTCCTTGATCTACACTGAATGCTTTATGCTGGTCCTCTCGAACATGATTAACCACTGATCCGAAGGACAGTTATTTTACAATGCATGTCTAAGTATTGTCTTTTTTGAGTACTCTCTGTGGGCTCACTACGATAAAGCTTCCCACTTATTTGGGCATAATATCAGCAACGCTTTTTAGAATCTGCTGCTATTA